TGGAAGAGGTACTCAGATTCTTTACTTATACCACAGTGTAAAACTACTCAGTTACAAGCAAAAGTACAAAAGTATTAGTATCAAAATATTATTAAAGTACCAAAAGCAACAGTAGCCCACTCATTATGCAGAATAGCGCAGTTCACATGAACGCATATCATATTATTGTATTATAATTATTAATTCATCATCACTTCATCACTTTAATGTTGCAGCTGGTAAAGGTGGAGCTAATAACTACCTTAAATACTTTTGATTTGAAATAATATAATATAATAAAAGTGAATGGGTTGTTTTTTAAGTAAAAATGTAAAAAAATTAACTTGTGCAATTACTCAAATATGAGGATTTCTGGTTTCTCATTATTTTAATATGTTGCTTCAACCTCCCGGAAATCACATGACAAAAATTCCACCTTCTCTGCTTTCAGTGTCTCAGATGCAAGGGTTTGCTGCTTTTTCTCAGTTTTGTATTTAAGTGCATTAAGTAACTTTTGACCTTTAGTTATACAAAAAAGCAATTTGAAGACATCGCTCTGGGCTGTGAACTATATGTGTAATAAAAGATTTACAGTACTTATTATCTCCACCAAGGGGGTTATGTGTTTAGCTGTTTGTTGGTTTGTTTGCAGCATAACTTAAAAAGCAATGAATGTTTTTTATGCTTAGTTTGTAAGGTACAAACAATAGAGCAGTGTATACATTTTGGTGGTGATCCAGATCACTCTCCCGACCCATGAAGTTTTTAATGGCATGATGAACAAACTGACCTGCCTTGGTGGAGATTTGCACTCTCTGACTGCTGTCTATTTGACTGCTGAAATAAATGACATATTAATTGATAATGAAAGTAAGTGTTAGCCCTAAGGAGAATGCCCTCTACTGTCACATTAAACTGTTTCCATCAAGCTCTTGTGTTGAACATAAGGCAGAAATACTGTGATCAGACAACTATATATTTTTTAATCTGTGCATTCCATCTATAAAACTGGTATCCAATTACTATGGAGGGAGAAAAAGTCTATGCTGGCAAGCTTCATTGATGATAATGATTATGTTTTTGATAGCAACCAAAAAAGCATATCAACAACTATTCAACTGTAAATAAAGAGAAAACTTAAGGCTATACCGAAGGAGCAATCAGTGTTCCTAACATTCATTTGCTGCGATAGTTCAAGTCAAACTCTTTAGAAAAAGTTACACATCTACCTTTTAAGATGAAAAAACATAGAAAAAAATCAACTGGACTAGGTTTTTAGGTCGAAGACGTTTCAACTCTCATCTGAGAGGCTTCATCAGTTCTGCCCGACTGGCGTTAAGCCGGAGATAATTATCCCCATCGGTGGTGTTTCAGTTCTTTGATGCCCAACAATATCCCCTAACAACTGAGTCGTTATAGCCCAGTATCAGTGAGCGTCGTTACCTGTCTTTGAACCCTCAGCTGTAGACCGACGCCTATTGTCCTGGTGGGCATGTTGGAGCAGAGATCTCAAAACAGAGTTGCAGATTAGTCAACCACCCCTATTTAGTGAGGGGTGCTCTATTTGAACAAAAATAGCTGCCTTAACTCCTCTCTCAAACCAGCGATATTCTCTGGTGTTAGAAATTCATAAATCAGTCAGATAATTATTAGACTTTAATGTGTTAGATTTTAATGTGTGTTAGTAATGCAGTTTAGTAAGATTCAAAGTCTGCTCTGTTTCAAGGTTAGCAGGGAGACGTCGGACTGTCTCCAACTCGTGATGTTTTTACAGGTGTCTGTGTAAGGGGGTAGCCCAAAATCTTATAAATGTATGAGGCTTTGTGTTTCTTTGTGTTTAGTCTGGAGCAGGTTGTCTCCAAAATTATTAGGATTTAGGCGGAAGTCAGAGGCAGAGCCCTTCTCCGAGCGGAGCATATTACTGAACGTCAAGATATTTATAAGACGGTCATTGCTAACTGTTAACTGCTTAATGAGGGCACAGGGAAATATTTTTTTTATTTTTCTTAAAATCTGTGTGGGTGGTTTGCTGCACGAAGGCTGTTTAACACTGGCACATGCGTATCCCATAGCAACAAGTGGAGAGAATTCGATATGACACATTGTGCCTCTAGCAGAACTGTCTTTGGGGGCTGGGCATAGTTTATGGGAAAACTGTATTATAGCCTTAGGGTGACGGCGTATTCAGTGGAATTAAAACAGAACTGTTGACTGGGTGAACCCCCAGCGATTGGGCGCACCAACTTGTTTGGCGTAGAAGGTTCCCGACCGGGTCGCAGTTCTGGGCTTGGACCATTTCAATTGAAAACGCCAGGCACGTGTACATAATTTTTAATATGTCTGCAAATGTTGTACAAGATTGGGAAAAGGCTAAGCCTTACTCTTTTGGGGCAGTACTCTACAAGTTTTTGTCCAAATGGTTAAATACACTTTCTAAAGATGAGCAGGACAAAGCAAGAGACCGGTTTATTTCCTGGGTCCTACAAATGCAGAGAAAGGGTATGCTTGGGGACAGTGACAGTCCTCCCCCACAAGGGGATGCTATAGGGCTGTTTTTGAAACAAGCCTCTCTAGCTGCAATGAGAGCTAAAGAGGAAGTGAAAACCTGTACATTTTTAACAAAGAACAAAACAGAAGCCAGAGTAAAACAAGCTGAGGGTTTTCTTGCCAATTGTGTATGCTTTTTGGAGACTTTCAAGTGTTTTCAGTCTCCTTCAGCCAGTTCAAGCAAGTCACAGAAACCAGTTAATGTTAATTCTCCCAGTGGCACAGCTGTTTCAGTCCAAGCTGTCTCTGATAGAGATTGCAAAGTGCAGTTTAGTCCCACACAGCCGTCTTCCTCACAGCTGACTCCACGAGGAGAGAGGAAGCCAATATTGAAGAGTGGCTTACAGATGCCACAAAGTGCAACACAGGGCATGGCGCCCCTGGTTGTTGTACAGGGAGGGATTTTACACACAGCCCCATTTCCAGGAGGTAAAACTGACAGAATTAGAGCACAGACTTATCTAAATGATTTAAACTCTGGCTGTGTAGACCGGATCATAACTCCAGTTGTCGGCGCATGCGCCTCTGTGTCTGCTTTTTTCGCAGAGGAAGAACATAAGTATGGTTGTGACGTGTCAGTACTAGCAATGTCTCACGAGAGTGATTCCAGCTGGGATGGCACAGTGCATGAATTTTCATCACAACATATGCAGAAAGGAGGAAATATTCATGATTGTTTCGACATTCCTTCACACCAGCTACCATTGTTACAGTCTAAGTAACCTCAGGGAGGGATAACACAAACTTATACTCCCTTCAGCCTACAAGATATGTGCATGGTTAAATCTCAGCTACCTGACATTGAGAAAGGAGGTGCACCATGGATTAAGGCATTTTTAGGTGCGTGTGCAGGATTTGTGCCTGTGCTTGGGGATTTTCGTTGTGTTTTTACAGCCTGTACTTCTCTGAGCATGTTACAGGAGATAGAATTAATGGCAAATACTATCGGGGATCATGATAATGTTGCTCTCCACACTGAAGTTCATCAGCTCTGGCCAGTGATACGCCAGAAATTCTCAGTACAGGTGCACTCTGTTGAGCTGTGTAGAATTCCGCCGCAAGAGGGTGAGAAAGGTAGTCAGGTCAGTATTTGCTCAGAGTGCGTGAACTCTGGCAGAACCACACTGGTGATGACCCAGCCATCAGTGACACCATGGGGGTGCTGTTTCGTAGTGCTGTGGAGGCTTCCCTCCCAACATCTATACAGTATTTGTTGAGACAGGTAGTGGGTCTCAACACATTTGCTTTTGAGCAGTGGTCAGCTTATGTCA